TGTGTAGGCAAAGAAAAATCGAGTAATCGAGAAATGAGCCAAACTAAAAAGATTTTTACTCCTCCTGGGACCCTTAATCTTCCAGTAGTAGAAATTCCTTAAACGGCAAGTATGAATGACCGGAGAATTTGCGAGGGAGTTTCATTACGCAAGGTGAACCGAAGAGAATGGAGTTTTTTTTTTCAAACTGGAGGATTGAACAACGATCCAGTGGAGTGAAATGACTTCTGGATTGGAAGAATTCCAAATGGCAATCGCCATGCCCTACAATTTTCAGAGTCGTTTCATTTGGCACGATTTCTGGCAACGCCGCCGTCCCGATGTGCTCGTTCGATGCGGTTTTCGGATGAAGCTAACTCATAGGAAATGGAATTGAAATCCAAAAAATTCCCTCATGCCCTAAAGTGATCACGTATATCCCATGCCTATGTAAAGAAGGCGTCGCCATATACTAATGGGTTCAGGTATAGAATAAAGAGAAAGAAGCTTGGGTTTGGAATATTTCTTCAGAGAGAAGAGTGACAACCTTTTATACTTTGTCATGCGATGCTCCGGCAAAATAGAGAGGGTGTGGTGATTTATGGGATGCAATTGGGAAGAAAAATGAAAATAAAATTATTCGACCAGGAAGGATTGCCTAGCAGCCAGAAGAGTAGGTCTGCTTTGATACGGATTAGAAAAGACCAGAATAAGAACGAGAATTCAATGATAAGGTCGTACCGCTGAACTCCATCAGCAGTTGAGATCCCGGTAAGACGCATTTGCATGGCCTTTAATCATCCTACTAGAGAGCCTTTGCAGAAGAAAAACGGAAGATAGAAGCAGTCTTAACCTAATCTACTTCTCTCTAGGGTATCCGGGGAATAAATGACGGGAACGGCTTTTTCTTTTCTTGCTCCGCCCTTTGAGTACTCAACAAGCCCTGGGACCTATGCTGTCCTAGTAACAGGATCCCATGAAATTGAAGTTTTTATCGATATTGGCTATTTATGGTTTCGGTTCTGAACGGCCAAGGTGAACGAGAGGTGGAGTTACTAATCACTAAAATATCCTTGGCCAGTTCTTCAACCACCATTGTCGAGTGTCAGCTTTATCTAGGCACTTTACCCTTACAAGTTCGGGCCTTGTTAGTTCGGGCCAGCTCAATCAATCGATGCAAATTCGTATGTAAGTTGAATGCACGACGTGAACTTCGAGAATGAAATTCGAATACCTCCTTAGATAGACGCCATGGAGTTATTTATGTAGTGTTTCTTCACTCCCATCGGTTTAGGTTACTCTTTTTTTATGTGAGCGCGAATGTAGTTACAGCCATGACCAATAAATCCTTAAAGTCTCTGAACGATAGTCAATCCTGCTATAGCATGCGCCCCGCATTCGATTTCCATTCAAAATGGTAGTGGTATTTTGAAGCGTAGGTGGGCTATGCAATGACCTGCGGTGACAAGCTGATATACAAGTCAGTGTTTTTATCTTCCCAGATGATCTGGTACCTAAACGAGCTTGAAGCGAGGGAAGACTTGGTTAAATCGAGCGGGTATCGACAATGGCTTCGATCTCAGGACCATGTGTACGGGCGGCGTGTGTACGAGCGTCTCCTGGCGCTACACCTGATTGCGATGGCTAGCTTTTGGTTGCATTATATCGCTGGATGATTTTTGAATATTTAATAACCATAATATGTGCCCTAGTTGTAAAAGTCTGATACGTTCTCTGAAAAATGAAAGGCTGCTATCGGTGAGCAAGAGGGACAAAGGGCAAGGGAGTGTGTAGGTCGAAGGCGAGGTGTTTTTCATTGGAGATAAGTAAAGCACTTGAGGTATCAGCAGTTCATGGTATTTGTATTGTTTTAATGTTGTCATAGTTATAAAAACTCAGTACCAGTTCTCTTTGCGTCATCAACTCACGTGGAGCTTTCAACGCCCTCTGTTGCACTGTTACTAATCAGCTTAAGAAACGCAGCTTACAGATCGTTTGGTATGCATGAGAAAAACCTGGGCGAATTTTCTCCGCTATCTTGAAATTTCTGATTGTCTAACAGTACAAAAAGTTTATTTTTCTTGACAAGGTATGGAAAAATCATCAATTGTCATAGGTTGAGCCAATTTTGCTCAATTGGTGATTTTTGAGTTTTATTTACAAGTCAGTTCTCATAATCTCAGACGAGTTCATACAAAAATACAAAATTACAATACAAAAGTGACGTCGACATTCTGAGAAGTTTTCTAAAACGTAGTGACCTTTACCCACTGGGAGCTTTTGAACGCATTAGAGTTGTTCTTGATCATATAGGACTCAGGTGGAATGATCTCCAAGATTTGCGTGGAGGCTGAATGTGAGTACTCCCATGACGAGACGAATCTTATATGGTTAATAAGAAGCATCTGATCCGGGATGAAGTTTGAGAAGCTTTTGAGAAAAAAGAGTTTTTTGGAAAAGTTTTATTCAAGACGGGANACCCACTGGGAGCTTTTGAACGCATTAGAGTTGTTCTTGATCATGTAGGACTCAGGTGGAATGATCTCCAAGATTTACGTGGAGGCTGAATGTGTGTACTCCCATGACGAGACGAATATTATTTGGTTAATAAGAAGCATCTGATCCGGGATGAAGTTTGAGAAGCTTTTGAGAAAAAAGAGTTTTTTGGAAAAGTTTTATTCAAGACGGGAGTCAGTATAGTAGTTCCCAATAGCCTGGCCTTTCTGCGAATTTGTTTTCCTTTTTTATCCTCCTCCTTACTCAAAACCAACTGCTGTTTTATACCTTTTCCTTCTTTAACTATACTTAGCTTCAAAGTCTAACATCAGTTGCTGGCAGAAACACAGCGTTCACACCGTCTACAGTTTGTCATGTCATCGTAGTAAAAGTCAGTCTCTCTGGATCCGACGGTGTTAGAACGTTAACAAAATCTTGCGAAATCAGGTGTTTTCGGGCTCTTATGTGGAACGGAAAACGTCACCTACAGCTTACGTCAAGGGAAACAGCGGACCATTTCAGAAAGGGTTTAAAATGATTTTCACAAGTCTCTCTCTGCTATTGGCGATTTTTTCGAAATGAAACTAGCTTCTATTCCCTTGACTACATCCTCAGCCGGCAAGCATGTGGTTAACATCCGCTTGGTCCCAGAAGATGCTAACGTTGCTTTCGGAATAGATCGAACCATAATGGTCCTTGGTGTCGCAGGCCCTTTTTTATAACGTAAAGTTCAGGAATATTGTCGAATCGAGAGCTTCGAACTAGTGGTGTAGCCTTCTGAACTGAGTCCGTCCGGATCAGGAGACTGCAACTGCACAGTTCCAAAAAAGGAAATTAACTGTTGTTGTGTTTCTTAACTTAAGAACAGTTAAATTTCCCTCATCGTAGCCCGTTTGGGCCAAGATGAAAGCTGCACTAACAGTTGAGAAATCGTTTCATGAACAAACTTTTGAAATCAAACAAGCTTGCTCTCTGCCTTCTATTTATCGTCCCCTTGATGATAGTTCTCCTCGAGCGGGCCCGTATCGTGTGTCACAGTATCTCAATTGCACTTCATCTCGTTATTGTCGAAAAATGGAGTGCTGAATAATATTCCGATTGCATGACGCTCGAGAAGTCTGGTCTTCAGACATTTCGGCATCTGGAGATTGGTGATTTCATGGAGTCTAGGGGTGGTATATTAGTGGAGGTAGTGCTACGTCAAAGTATAGATCTGTACATACAGAGGTCTCAGCTCCTCGATATAGGTTTGGTCATTCGTGCTCTGGCCCTCCATCTCTTCACGTTGAGTTGATGGGTCCTGACGCGACAATCCGATATGGTTTTGAAACGATGACAAGCAGTAGCGCTTTCTTTACGGTGGGTTTGGAGGGCCCTGATACGACAATTCGATGTGTTTCCTTGAAACGACCCATCCTTTTTAGGTTAAAGCACAATTCCTTCCATGCCTAAATTGACTTGTATTGAGTCTTCCATCTGAGAGACATGACGGTCAATACATATCTAACACCTGTGTTGAATTCTACAAAATATCTATTTCCATTACAATCCGGAAAGGGCAGTGATCGTAACAAGTGTCGTTTCCTGATTGGGCATGGTCACGTTTACACTTTAACTTGGTTAATATATATGTGGAGAGTCAGTCAATACGCAGTTGTTCCGTGGTGTCATTTTCGAAGGTTCCTCGATCCCACTGTGTGTCAATCGAGTCATTTGTAAGTCTTTAGTTTCGTAAGAGTAGATGCTATCAGTGTTGTTGTAGAGCATTTTGATGGAGCATCTACGAGGTTAGTCAGTTCATTCCTGGGCTCTTTTATTCGTTTCTTCCTAAGTGGTCTTCATACGACAGACCTGGATATGACAGTGACCGAAGGGTCTATTGCCTCATGTTGTCCACTACTGTCTGACAAAGAAAGGGCCAATTGTAAGTTGACGATCTGCATTTTCACTTGCATTGGAGGTGTAGATCTTTTATGGAAGAAAAGAATATAAAGTACGACGTCATCAGGTTGAAGGGGACGGAAAAGCATTGCCTATGGATCCGAGAATCGAGGAGAACCATTTCTTGGAATTTTGATACTCAGCTGTGCCTTTTGAATCCATTCACTACTACTATTACCAGTTCTATGTATGCGGTTCTTTGAACTGACTTTTCAGTTATGTACAATAACAACCTGCAGAAATTTTTTATTAGTGACCGATTTTGAAGGAACAAAGTCGAATGAGCGGAATGGCCTCGTGATATCGTCATTAGTTAAGCTGAAATCAGACTCTCTCTTCAACGTTGTAGTGGAAATATCGGATAGGGAGAACTCCCGTACCGAACAACTTTCAAAGTCTATTCTCAAACTCACCGAATTCAAGGTATTTCACGGATCGATGGATTAGTTTAGGTGTATTGGCCATCGCCGAGAATTGTCATCGATTGACTATTTGTAAACAGTAAATCGTACACTCTATCATATTCTGCTTGAAGAACATATGCCTAAACAAACAGTCCAGTAATGACCACTGAGCCACTCAGCGGCTACAACGGCCGAAGTAAACTCACTTCTTCACCATGATACTCGCTAGTTTCTGATAATAGTACGCCTTCAAAGATATCGATAAACTGTCCGAGTCGGTTGAGGTACCTAAGCAGTCATATCATCAGCCTGGCTATGGATGATTCCGCTTAATCATATTCCAGAGGCTACTATAAATGTTGTGTGCTAGCTAAGTGCAGGGGGGTCGCTCCACACCCAGTCCCCTTTTGTGAAGCTGTGAAATGACTTACGCGATATCATCAGGGGGAATAGGTAGCTGATTCATTTCTCCATCGTGGATCTCGTCGAAAAGGATCGGGTTCATTTTTTCGATAAGAGCCAAGTAAGACGGTGGCATCTCGACTCCTTGTCTTCGTGGGACGAAAAGCGACGGCCCCGACTGCCTTCGAACGGCCGCATCCCGACCGTAACGTCGTGCGTATACCCTTCTTGTCGAAGCGTCTAACTTTGCCCGAACCTCGTCCATTATCAATTGACGTTGAATGATTTCTGAGAGGCTCTCACTAGACTCCCTGTCGTCCATGCAATGAAATCCTG